TATTTCCTTTTTTGGTTGTATGATGGAACTTCCATTATTCTGCTCTAATTATATCCCAATGTATTGCAGGTGGTCATTATTGGAAAAATACAGCTGTAAACCCTCGAAACTCCATTTGAAACCTCGGAGATTCAAGATATTTGTGGAAACTCTGGTTCGTTTTGGGACTATTAACTTACCATGAATATGAAATTCTTAGTTATGATCTTACTGATTATTTCTTCATCGTGAAGGAGAATCAACTGATGAAGGACCGTAAAAAGAATACCAAGAAACGGCTTTCAACTGGAGAAAATAATCCTCCTGTTTCAAGCATGCCAACCTCAAATCAGGTCAGACCACCAGGGCATGATAACCGTTCGGTAAAAGCAGTTCTTGTCGACAGCCAAAACATTCCAAAAGTTGGAACTGGAAAAGGAGCTTCATTGAAGCGCAATATGCCTATGGAAACCGGTCGTAACAATTGCAAAATCGACCCTGCTTCTGCCAAAGCTGCAAAACTACGGAGGAAAACAGGTAAATCTTTGAGTAAATCTTGCGATTAATTCGTGTTTCCAATTTTTTTTTGTTGTGTTGTGTACGTCTGTTATCTGCTGAGGTTATGCACGTACTCTATCCAGCTTTTATTTGTTTCTGCATATGATTATGCACGCATTTATATCACATTGCTTGTTTAGTTAATGAGGAGGATATACAATCATAGGTTGCATATGGAATATTTGTATGACATTACTTATGAATGTTCAACAGCATAAGTGCCATAGACCTCATGACTCAAAAGTTTTTTTTGTTACCGTCCTTTTTTTTTTGTTTAAATGTGGTTTATTATTTTATTGCCAAATATACCGTACAGGACTTGCATCAGCAGCTGCATATAAAAGATGGGAAAAGGCGGCAATTGCTGGGGTTTCATTGGTTGCTGATGCTGCTGAACATTTGGAAAAAGTGGACACCAACAAAGGAGGAGTGAATTTTCAAGAAACGCCAGGTGGGTTTCAAATTTCTCCTAAACCCTTTTGAACTCGATTATAAAATATATAAAACTGCCGTCCTAAATCCCACTGATATGTTCAGGACATGATGGCTCTCAACTTGTTCCGGAAGTGGCACAACAAACGACTCCAGAGATCAAGTCGAATGAGAATAATAGTAATAACTCCATGAAATTAAAGCTCCAATTGTTTCCTATTGATGAATGTACCCGTAAAGCCTTAGAAATGGTAAGGTTGAAAGAATGTCCATTTTTGTGTTGATTATCATTATATTTTTCTGACAAAGTCGTGGTTTAAAGTAATTCCTGAAAAGTGATTAGGAATTGTGTGTTTCTGTTTTTTTCTTTTTTGGCAGGATAATCGTAATCCACATCTAGAGCTAACTTTGAGTACACGAAAGAAAATATCATCCATATTGGAACATCTGAATCGCAAATGGGGCAGCTCAAGCTCATCAAATCAGGAGTTAATGCTATTACCTTATTGGGCACAGAGAGAAAACCTTGTGGGCTACCAGAAGTGGACGAAGGACTCTAATCTTTGTGCAGCTGATGTCTATTACTCAATTGGTAGCCCTTTGACTTTCCGCCTCAGGTTGTATTCTTGTATTCCTTTCTCTCTGTAAGTATTGTGTCACCAATAGACAGAATGTAACCATTTTTTTTATTTTTTTTTTCTTACCCCCCTTCTTTTTTTGTTTATTTGTTTCTGAAGATATGGATGGTTTTCGAAAGCTGAGATTGAAGCTGCAACTGCTCAAGTATTGTCTTTTGCCAATACTAAAGAGATAAATTCGAACATTAGCACAGCAAAAGAGAAGAATGCCGAAACTGAAAATCCAAGTGGCCTCTGTGATAATCAGTTTGGTTCTGCCGAACGAATCATTAACATGACACCCTCATGTACACCGACTCCAATTAAGGTAGCTGACTGTAGTTTTTCACTTATCAACAATAATGCTTCCGGAAAAGCTAGTGAAGATTTAGCAGTTATGAGGCAAACTGCAAACATGGTATGTATTGAACTTTCCTTGCTTTCCTCTTTTTGACTGTTTTTAAGAACTTTCTTTTTAATATTTTGTTGAAACATTGTCCATGTTATTGTTCAATTACAGTACGAAAAAACCACTATCAAATTCAAACCATTGTTTCCCTTTTCTACTACTTCAAGCAAAACTATTTCACTACCTTCCGTATACTAAAATCTATATATACCCTTAACAGAAGGATATGCATTTGTCTGCTGGTGAGTGGGCTGATAGTCTCACCAATATAAGCATGGGCGAACTTTTGTCCGAATCCGAACACAATATAGACGCCAGCGGTGCCAATTTTTCAAACCCTCGTGGTTCCAACTGTTTCCAGCAGATCCCTTTCAGTTGCGATTCCTTTGATGCTGCAATTGCTGCCCATATTTACAAGCACCAAGTAAGAGTCGACTCACAGCCGAGTCAAAGCCAAGGCAATGGGTTCCAAGTGCCATCCATCTGGGATGGCGAGGAGACTTGCGATGCCTTTGCTTTCAAGAAAACAAGTTCTTTTCATGATAAAGACCCAAACGCTACTCGCATGGATAGCTCTGTAGAGGTGTTTGAGCCTGCTGGAGTTGCATGTCCGTTGGCGCTTCACAAGGAAGTCGAGGTTTGATTTGACATTGCTCTTTTTACTATTTATTACGAGTGGTGGGTTATTAAGGGCGCGTTGGGATATGAGACAAAACCAGTTTTTATCAGTTTTAACCGATTGGGTTATTTCGTCCAATCTTTGAACTCAATATCCAACTCAGCCTAACTCTTCTCAATATTGTCAATATAATTAAATAATATTAATCAATCATTCTCACACATCACATCAACTTTAATTCACTATTCACCCACTCACATAATTTTAACTACCTATTACTTCCAATAACATCTCTCCTACTTTTACATCACATCAACTTTAATCATTATATTTTGAATATTATTTAATTACAAACTCATCCATTCAATCAACTTTATTCAAAATAACCCACTTTAACTAACCAAATCCAACCAAAACTGGTTGGATTCATATTCAATCACGCCCCTTACGAGTTCTTGGTAAATTTTATTGTTACTCTTGACTTTTGCTTGATGCAGGAGTTGCCCAGTGTGGAAATATTGACAAATAGTGATTACTTAATGGATGATGACTGTGGAGCCAATCATCCTTTAGAGAGTTCTAACAAGAATTCAGATGACTTGCTCAATGTGGGAAAATCGACAAATAATGGAGACTTGATGGATGACGACTGTGGAGCCAATAATCCTTTGGAGAATTCTACCAAGGATTTCGGTGCGCTTACGGATATATATTGGGTGAGCTTTTCCTATGGGCCCATTTTCCAGTTTTATTTTCTTCATTATTTCAAAGACATCCTCAAAATATAGTCTAATAATCGAAAAAATCCAACTGTCCTTCAATTTCGAAGAAACCTTTTTTTCCTTGATTCATTTTTAGTTAGTTCTTTTAATCTGATCGTTTTTTTTTTTTCTTTTTTTTTTTTTTGTATNGGTATTTTACAGCCTGAATCATTAGGACCGTTAGATTTGGACATAACCCCATGTAGATACATTAACAATGAACTAATACTTAGCGACAGTCTAGGCGGGTTGAACCGCCTCATAGCAAACAGTTTGGACGGGTTTCAGAGCTGTTCGTTCTTTGGCCTAGACAAGAAAGGAGCTTCATCATCATCCGAAGCTCGACAAAGTGTTACTTTCTCGAATTTCAAAGTCGGCAGTGAGGTTTGAAAGTACAAAGAGTGAGTGAGAGATGTAATTATAACTCTTATGTAATGTAACTCGGGTGTGTGCGTGCCAGTGTGTTTGAGCCACTGTAAAAAGGGACCACCACAAAATTTGGAGACATATTTGGTGCCTGTGGCATGCATAGATGGACTTTTTTTTAATGTTACTGAGCCTCGGTACTTATGTTTGTGCACAAACATAAGTTTGGTACATAAGTTTTCGTATAGATTTTGAACTAGGTTTTGGTGTGTTGATGAATTTATCCATAGATTTTTTGCTTTGGTTATGCTAGAGCCTAGATGATATATATAAAGTTGATCATGAGTGACGTGCACATTTACGGGCGAATTCTAACCGTTGACTATAATTATTAATTACTCAATTGCACAATAGAAATGTTACAATTGCCCTTTGGCGAAGGGTCTTCCAAGCCCTGGGATCGCGGAGAACTGCGCGCTTCATTAATAGGAGCAAAATTCTATAATTCCGGTATTAGAAGCGGGTGAGAGACCTCATGAAGCTTGCTTCTGGCGAAGCGTAACGAACTAGATGATAGGCATTTTGGTATGGCAGGAATACCACTTTTAGGTCGACTACTACATAGGAGCGATAGCGAAGCCAAACGGTATAAACTTGAGCAGCCAAACGGTATAAACTTGAGCAGCCCAGAATGCAATAGCAAACAGTCTATTTATAGCTCTTCCCAGAATGCAATAGCAAACGGTCTACTTCACTTTCTTACTCTCCTTTCAGTCGAGATTTCTTAAAACCTCTCCCTATGCTTGAGCATATTCCAACCTCTCCTTTATGTGGATCACCTATCTATACCTTAGAGAGACCTCGATTTCTTATGTCCCAATGGGCCCCCCTGTAGATCCGAAATAAGCTTCCTTCATTTAAACAAAGAAAGTAGAGTTGTGGCGTGAGATTAAGTGCTTACGTCTGCTTTCGAGTCATGCAACTACGGTATGACTATATGTTGAACATCTCTAAAGAGATTTCTAGAACTCGGTAATAGAAAAGTTAGTTAAAGTGTTCCCAAACGAATATATCTTACGAAATTTCGTTAGCCTTTCCTGAATCACACCGGGATGAGAGATGGTTGGATTGAAATGCTGCTGGATAGGAAATTAGGAACGAAGTCACTCGACCAACGGGAGAGGGTCAAGAAGGTTCGCTATCGACTCACACACACGATCTAGCACCTAATCTAGCTATGTTGTGTATGCAGACAATCTTATAGTCTTATTATAGACTGGTAAACCCTTGCTTTACTTACTGATGGGTCTACTTCTGGATCTGAAGAGAACCGGTGATTTTGAGCTCAGATCTGCTTGAATCGCCTTTGAACCGTTGCTAGACCGCAATAATACCTGCAAGAACTCAACGCCGAAAGTGTTTCCGGCGTAGAGCCTCCGACGCTCAAGTCAGTATGTGAAAGAGATGAAGAGAGGCTGCTCTAAGAGAGAGCAGCAGCAGCTATGGAGGAGAGTATGGAATGAATGGAAGTTGGGGTTTAGAGTTACCTCACCTCCTTTATATAGGAGGAAACACTTACTTGAAGTACCCAAAATGCCCTGGTCGACTTACATGAAAGGTCCAAAATGCCCCGGTCGGTTCGTCTCCCCTTGCTGCTGAGTCATCACAAGATTCCCTCATATTTATTGAAGAATGCAGAGCCTGAAGTATGTTGCAAGTGTGATGAATCATCATCACGTTTTCGGTCTCGAGGCACAAGAAGTCGACCTCTAGATCTGAGAGGTCGACTCATGATCGCATGAAGATTCGGAGACTAAGCTCGGCTATTCTTACGTGGGAGTCGACTTCTGGAATCGACTGCAGGAAGTTGACCTCGAGGAGTCGATTTACATGGATTTCGCCCTTCTCTCGTAGTTGTTTTGCTGAGGAGTCGACTTTGTGGAAGTCGACTTAGGTATGTCGACGAGAGTACGTCGACATGTGATCGGTCTGAGTATTTAGTCGTTCGAGTAGAAGGTTCTTGGGCCGGTAGGTGACAATATGGCTATATCACTTACGTTATATAGGGACAATATTCTTGGCCTGTACTTGGATACCAATATATCCATTCAAAATGAGTTTTTTTAGTTAACCATGGTTAATTTTAAAAAATATGGTATGGTTAATTGTTTGTGGAATTTAGTTTGTATTAAAATAATATTTAAAGTAAAATAATTAAAGTTGATATGATGTAAAAGTAAGAGATGAAGTGAAGTTGGTCAGCTAAAATTATGTGAGTGGATGAATAGTGAATTAAAGTTGATGTGAGCTATATTTGGTAGACAAATAAGTTAGCTTATATCTTATTTGATTAACTTATAAGCTTCCTGTATTTAAATAAGCTTCGTTTGGTAGGACAAGCTTATTTAAAAATCTCGAGCTTATCTCATAAGCTTGTTTGAGTAGCTTTTCAAATAAGCTAGTTAAAATTTTTATTTCAGCTAGCTTATCAGCTAATTTACCAAACACTTTTATCATATAAGCTAGTTTTTCAGCAATAAGTCATAAGCTATAAGGTCGAAAATTATTGATAAGCTATAAGCTAGCTTATCAGCTATCAGCTGGCTTATCAACTAGTTTTATCAAACATAGCCGTTAAGTGTAAGAATGATGGATTAATATAATTTAATTATATTGATTAAATTGAAAATAGTGTGGTTGAATTAAAATTAAATTAAATTTTGAGTATAAATTGTATTGTTTTATATGCAAACCCTTACACTATCTAGCGTTCGCCAGCATTAGTGTGCCACAATACTCATGTATGGCAACTCACACAACCCACCAAATTACAAAAAGTACTAAGATTTTCGTTCGCCTCTTGCTCAGTTGCTTGCTCAAATCTTTGTGCTCTTTGCTTTGTTTATTCAAATATTTTTTTTTTTCTAATAAATTTGCTTATTTTTAAAACTAAATGTCATTCTTTGAAAAACAACATAAACAAAAGCTTGTCCGTTTATAGGAAAACGTGCATTTTTTGTTAAAATAATGAGTCTGACCTATCTAACGGGGTAGACGGGCTCATAAAAACATTGTAAAACATTGTAAATAATACTCAATCTCATAGTTTTTCAACTCGGACCAGTCCAGCGAGTCGACATGATGTTGGAACCAGTCCAGGTGGGTGATTCGAACTGGATGACAACAGACCCGACAGCTTGATCGGACATTGACCCGGCCAAGTCAAACTGAATTGACGTGCTCACTATTTTTTATTTACTTTTTATTTTATAAATTAAAAAGTATGTATATTCATTTGGTAAATACTTATTATGAGATATAATATTATTAACACTTGATGTACAAAATTTATACATAAAACACTTTTTTTCTGTTACTATTATGTATACTTTTATGATAAAAATAATATATACAATTTTAAAAATTTAAAATTAATTATTCAGTCCATCAATACATCTAGTGGACAACGATATTTAACATTCTATCTCAAGAAAGCCCTCTGTTCTCTCTCTTCTGAAGAACTAAAAGCCCAAAATCTCGTTCTTAGCCCTCCACCCCCCCTCCCCTCTTCTCTTCTGCCGTCGACAGACACAACTCCCCAGTCCGAAGCCCCTCAGCTCCGGCCATGGCCAAGGTAAGTGACTCCCTTCCTGCCCCATCTGCAGCCCTCGTGTGGGAGGGTTTCAGCGGCGATGTTGTCCTCTCATCCTCGTGTTTGTCGTTCTTTACAGGAAGGAGAATGTTGTTACGACCTTTGGTCGAACGGGGCGGTCCCACCCTCTAGGTCCGCAGTTTTGGGCTTCTCCGGCACAACTAAAAGAGTTTTCGGTGTATTTTTTGTGGATGTTCCTATGTGTCGCCTATGGGGATTGGTCAAACACAATCCCGTGGCAGAATCTCGTACATGAAGAGAAGGCCAACGTCCCATCAGACAACATCCTCTTCTTTGATTCCGTGAACGAGTAAGTACCCGAAAATCGCAGAGAAGACAGAGTGGGGAAACCAATAGGGATAGAGTTACATACTTGGAACTATAATAATTAGCGAGTCAAAAGAATGGACAGCTGGACTTTCCGAAACGATTCATGCGAACCACATCACTAAAATCCCCAAACATTAAACATGGCCAGTGAAACGAGCTTCTCTAAGAGCGAAATGAGAGCAGCCTAACTCGTGAAAACGAGGTTGTAGGAGAGCAACACAAGCATCGTGATGCTAGGCGTCGGGATTGGGGCTTTTGGTTCGGTCAGATCCATCCCAATGTTTGGGCCAGGATTATCAAGTTCAGTCATAGAATCCAACGAAATTTTTCCAAGATATAGTCCAGATTATCTCGAATACTACTTCGCATGACCTATAGAAAGAAAAAGAAGTCCGTGTTATGTTGACTGTTGTTGTTTTCTAGTAAAGAGGAGGGGAGGTAGTATTCTATTGTAATTTAGGTGTAGTTATTCTCCCATTGTGGGAGTTGTCTCCACTTGTTGGAGTTTTAGTTTTATCTTTTGTTTGGATTGGTTCAAGCTTACTGGAGCTCTAGTCTCTACTTGTTGTAGTTTTAGTTTTATCTTTTGTTTGAATTGGATTTCAAGTTGGTTTCGGGTGCGATATATTCCAATTGTTTTTGTTTTTAGTCCAAGGTGTTTGGTTAACACTAGTACGTAGCCCGTGCGATGCACTGGATGATATATTTTCTGGAATGTTGAACATGTGAAATATTAAAATTAATATAATTTATATATATGTAACAAAAATAAATGGATCGCAAAGAAGGCAAAAAAAATTATAAATTGTTGAATACTTTCTTGTACACAACGTTTTTTGTTTGGGATAATGATTATTTCTGGCTCTTGTTTACAATCATTGCGTAATAATCCATAACGTCATTGTTTCAAAAGTATGCAGTGTATATTGATATGGCTGCAAATTACAACGTTTATCAAGTAGAATGGTTCCTTGCACAGTACGTGTTGATCTTGTAAAACATTGCATGTATATATCATGAAATAAATGTTGTATAATAAATTTATACCAAATAAATATATCTTGAATAAAATATTTGCTAGAGAACCAGTCAACATCAGTGGGCCAGACTGGTAGTAACGGTACGATTTTTTAAATAAATTTTGTTGCATTTAAAACTATTTTTAATATAAGTAAAAATACATATTTAAATAAAGTGGACATTTATAAATTATGTATCATTTAGTTAAACATTGAAAATTTTTAAATTGTTCATATATTTAATTAATATTTTTTAATAAATTTATTATAATAAGTACTATATATATTAAAATATTAATAATTTAAATTCTGATGCAACTAATAAATCATTGAATAAATAACTTGATCGTTTTGAAAACGGTCCTCTCCTGAGAATTTTGAATTTACCGTACATTAATAAGGTTGTAATGCAATATCATTTTGTTAACATACATATTAATAAAATAAAACATAACTGTTCATAATTCCTTGAATATGTTGTCACAAAAGCATTCTTAATATGATTATTTGGAGTTGAACTACATTACGTTTACTTTCATAATATACTTTTAATATTAAAAATTATATTTAGTTCAATAATCGATTTGGTCTGGTCAAACTGACCCATAACTTGGTCACTCAAGATCAACCTCAGTTGTGTCATTGACTCATAACTCGATAGTATATATCTGCTCAATTTTTTAGAACATTCGATATCAAATTAGTATAGCATTCATTTATATAAGTGAATATAAATTTCATATACTATATAGATCATTTGCACGGATGATTTATATCCATTTTTAGATTAGTTAAAAAAGCATTTGATATTTATTTGTTTATCAAATAAAGAATATCAATGCTATATATACTTTAAGATTCGATATGCACATTGTTTATTAGTTAAAGAATTTCAATGTATTGTCCGTAAATTTACATATTTAATTATATATAAGCATATTCAGGACTTTACACATTTAAAATCATATTTCAAAATATTCAAAATTATTTAATTAAACCAAAAAGTCCCATTTAGCAAAGAATATTTTAAAACAATTTTTGATTAGCAAAATCGAACATAGCAAAATCGTATATAGATATTAAATAAATAATAATTCTGTTAAAATCAGATTTTTAAATAATATCTTCACAAAAAGTGAGATTTAAAATAATTATATATATTTTTCTTAATCGATAATGAATATTGATTTAAAAAAAAAATATTAAGATAGACAATTGTGAACTCTCGATAAACATAAAATTAAATCTCCAAACAATATAATATGGCAGAATTCATTCAAAATAAAAATATCAGGCACAAATATATTTAAATTTTCAAAGTAGATTTACTTCCAAAGGGCATGCCAATAAAATAGGGAAAATCTCGATTTATTTCCAAAACAGATTTATTTACATGCGTAAATTGTACAACAAATGCAAAATTTGAATTTTGAATTGATTTCTATAGGTGGTAAGTTAAAAGATTTAACCCAAGCTTTTTATCAACTTTCCACAAATGATTTATTTATTATCCCATTTCAATATATATAGATTCCTCATGAGTCCTATTTGATGGGTTTGTAGGGCTAACTTATTTGGTGGATTTGTAGGGCTAGTTAGCTCTAGGGTCTTATCTTGCAAGTCTCGATATAAAATCTATCATATAAAAAATATAAATAAGTAAATAAATAAAGTAACTGATCCAATGGCTCGGGACCTGGAGGCGTGCCGCATACCCGAGACTATTCCCAAGCCGGATTTTAAAAACTATGCTCAATCTGGAAAATAAAATAAAACACCTGAAAACTTCCATTTTATCCATACATATGGCTGTGGGCATAATTGTTAGATACTGGGCGATTTATAACCAGAGATTCAAGTATAAATAGATTAAGGTGGTAAAGCTCATACAGAATTACAATATGGAAAATAACCAAAAAAACAAAAAAAGGTAAAAAAAACACGAGACCACATGAAAGGAACACATCTTTTGTCCAAAAATTTCATGATCTAAACCCATCATAGATAATGCCTTCATTTTGATTTTCCTTTATTTGTCGACGACCGTTTTTGCGGTTTTTTCTTGAAAGATTTATTGCCGGGCTTCAACTTGCTGGAGGTCGACGATTGTCCTCCTTGCTTTCTCTGTTTCTTCTCCTTCTTCACATTGTACATGTTCACAGCCTACATTCCGACACGAGCCCAACAAGTTCAACAAAATATATTTTGGATTAAAAACAGATAGAAAAAAATTCACTCGCCGAATAAGATGTACCTTTTCCACATTGAGTATCTCGTGCGAGTGTTTCGAAATCAATTTGTTCAAGACTTTCTCGGTTTGCTGCCTTTCCATGGCACCCATTCCCGACCCTTCAACAGCTGGCAAAAACTGCATAACAATGGTTTTAGAAAAAAAAATGTATCCACCATTCTATATTGAACAAGAAAAAGAAAACTACTTTCGAGGTTATATTACAAAAACCCCCTTCGGGTTTTGTAGTAGCTCGAAAAGTAAAACCCATGTTTTCATGTGGCAGTTTTTCTTAACGAGAAATAAATGTCAGACGACCGATTCTCAATTTCAGGGACTTCTTACATAAAAAATGAATCTTGAGGGTAGTTTGTGCAATTAACCCGTAAATTTTGCAAAAAGAGATGAGGTAAACCTTCCTATACTTCTTCTCATGCTTTGGGGGCTTTTCTCCGTCTAATTTCTTGTCGAATTTCCCACCGCTGGCTGTTGAAATTGCCGCCAAACCAGCAACATTTTGTAGTTCAACTTTGCTAACTTTCTTGGGATTTGCTTTTGTTCCAGTTATGGGTAAAGAGGTGGCTGCAAGTTGAATATGGCTGCAAAACACGAGCAAAACTCAGAAACTCACATTTCCTTTCACGGGCAAAAACCGAGCTAACGGACACTTCAAATTGCATTTTCAGCAAGTTAAACGCAAGAAAAGTGCACACAGCAGCATAAATTCAATAAGATTCATAATCACATGATAAGAGGCTGAGCTACGCCGCAGCTCAAACCGTTAAAACGAAAAAAAAAAAAAAACAATTTCAACAAGGAATAACAGACGAGTCTCAAAAAGTCGCATGGAAAAAAAAAAGAATCTTGCGACAGGTGTAGAAGAAAAACCTCGGCAAGGCGCCAACTTTCTGTGCTTGTTTCAGGTTAGCCAATCGATTTTTCTCCTGTTTCTCAACTCTACTTTTCTTCTCTTTACGTCTCTCGGCAAAAGGATCTGTTCCTGGTTCTGGAAAGTTCAAAAAAACAAAAAAAAAAATGATTAATTACAATCTAAATAGATGCAACACTTTCGAGCAAAGAAGTAAAATGCTCTAAATAATGAGAAACATATAGGAAATCCAGTACAGTCTAAATCAACCAATAACTAATACAGTACAAATAAAATTATTTTCTCCAATCAAGTACAAATAAAATTATTTTCTCCAATTAAGTTTTTAAGATACCCGGCAGCCACTGTCCTATTTTCATCAAACTAAGTTCAAAGTTTTTGCTATGATACACAGAAACAAAGTCGCTGGAGGGAGGGGAAAAAAAGAAATAGAAAAATGATTGCTAATTGGAAAAATAGTTATTAAATCATTTTACAACTGGAAATGAAATAGCAATAATATTGAAAATTACATACCATCAGTGGCCTTGGCCTCGATGATTGGAATGTCATTGTCATCATTAACACGGTCGTAACCATGCCGGCGCTTCCAGGTACCAGTTTGGTCGTCAAAAACCAATTTTTCTTTATTTCTCTTCTGAATACCTGCATTATTTCATAAACGAAAAGTTAGAAAATTTAAACTGTAAATCAAGTGAAGGAGTTCAACTTAGTTCTCTGTTTCTAGCAGATGGGAAAGAAAAACGAACCTTTCTTCTGAGCAAACATTTCCCATTTTGTCGGAGGCCTAGGTTTTGGAAGCTGAACGCCAAATCGAGGTAGAAAATTTCAGATAGTGTAATAATATAAACAGTCGGATAACGTAAAACCCTCAATATATGCAGCATGTAAAGATTAGCAAGCCAATAAGACTACTACATTTAATATAATCTCCATGAACCGAAAACAAAAGAGTATTCAGCAAATGTTTCATACAGTTTTTTCAGCTAAACATGGGATTAAAGATAGTCAAAGGCAAACCAAAAAACCAATCTTCATAAACATTCTAGCATCCACGTTAAAAATGTCCATTCCTTTAATTATGCAACAAATTACTACGACAATACCCAACATAATTCCTCCAAAACACACACACACACACACACACACACACACACGAAACAAACAAAGAGCTTAAAAAGATCGCTTATCTTGCCATCGGGCATGCTTCACTTTGTCCTATATTACTTGGCAGCTTAAAAAGAGATTAAGATAGTAAAGATAAACCAAGAACCCAATCTTGATAGCATTCTAGCATCCAAGAAAAAAAACTGTTCATTCCTTTAATTGTATGCAACAAATAACTAGAGCATACCCAGCATAATTCCTCCAACACACACACACACCAAACAAAGAGCTTAGAACGATCACTTATTTTGCCATTGGGTAATCTTCACTTTGTCCTAATTTACTTGGCATCTTAAAACGAGATTAAAGATAGTCAAAGATAAAACCAAAATCCAATCTTGATATGCATTCTAACATTCAAGTAAAAAAATGTTCCTCCCGGCATATTCCTCCACACACACATAGCAAACGAAAACGTTACCGGCTTTTCTCTGGGCAATTTTGTACTGGGCGCAGGCAATTTAACGATGGGCCCGTCGGGATCCTCCATTGACGGCAAACTGAAAAGGGCACCGGCAACTGCTTGCACTAACCTCGTACTATGTTCGATGGCTACCTTCACAATCTCCTCCCTGTTGCGCAATCAATTCCACAACATTACTCAAAGATTAAAGCACATATTTGGAGGCTCACACAGCAAAATTAGAAACGGAAAAAAACTGGATTGAACCTGGAAGATGGAGGAGAAGCGAACTGATGTTGAGAGTCGAACGCCGTAAGGTTGCCCAAATCGACCTCGTACTGTGTTTCCGCCATAGCTGCAAAGCTTGGGAGCGTGCGTCAGAGGTTGAGGAGGTTTTTGAGTTTTACCTATTTGCCGGCAGGCAGGGTTTTTAATATGGGCCGATTGATATGGGCTAAGAAATGTCTTCGAAGTTTGGGTTAAATATACATTTTTCTGGCCCAAATTATAAGCAGTTTTAGGCTTTAGGTCGACATGACCAGATAGAGCTTCATAGAACAAAAACCGCAGTGTTGGCCCAACATTTAGTTGTTTTTCCAGTTTTTGGGCTTATTTAGTCTCGTAAGATTCCGATGTGAGATACTCCTTTTGGTTGTTAGCGGATTAAATAAATATATAGTTTTTCCTTGATCTTTTAAGTGCTTCGAAATCGTGTGTGTCGTGGCGCTTACTAATCTATGTAGATTTGAAATTTTATTCATGCCTAGTAGTTTTAAAGTTATAAGACACTTAATCAATTTAAATTATAAATACATTTTAAAATTATTAGAATATCGCTTGTGAGTTGTCCCACATCGTTCATACATGGAAAATAGACTCACTTTATAAGACTAATGGGCTACTCCTCCTTCCACCAATTGGTTTTGAATGGAACTCCATTTGGATTTCATATGGGCTTTTCCCATTTTCTCATGGTGCGCTTCATGATAGTGGGCCCGCACCCATTTTCCTCCAGTTTCTGTCAAGCGGGCCCGCACCCATTTTCCCTAAGTTTCTGTCATGTGAGTTGTCCCACATCGTTTCATACATGGAAAATAGACTCATTTTATACTCACATCGTTCATACATGGAAAATAGACTCATTTTATAAGACTAATGGACTACTCCTTCCAATAGACTCATTTTATAAGACTAATGGACTACTCCTTCCACCAATTGGTTTTGGGATGGAACCCCAGTAGACTTCCATAGACTCACTTTATAAGACTAATGGACTACTCCTTCTTCCACCAATTGGTTACCAATTGGTTTTGGGATGGAATCCCATTTGGGCTTTTTCTGTCATGTGAGTTGTCCCACATCGTTCATACATGGAAAATAGACTTCCATAGACTCACTTTATAAGACTAATTGACTACTCCTTCTTCCACCAATTAGTTTTGAGATGGAACCCCATTTGGACTTTTCCCGTTTTCCCATGGTGTGCTTCATGATAGTGGACCCGCACTCATTTTCCCCCAGCTTTTGTCAAAAATTATCAATTTTTCACATAAATTATAACATTAATCATTTTTATACATGGAAAATAGACCCACTTTATAAGACTAATGGGGTACTCCTTCTTCCACCAATTGGTTTTGGGATGGAACCCCATTTGGGCTTTTCCCGATTTCCCATGGTGTGCTTCATGATAGTGGGTCCGCACCCATTTTCCCCCATTTTCTGTCAAAATTATCAATATTTTACATAAATTATAACATTAATCATTTTTTGACGATTTTGATTTGACATTCATATTGTATGCATAAAATAAAGATATTATATTTCTTAAAGATATGAATTAAACTAACATAATAATGTTAAACTATAAAATAAAACCTTTTATATATATTTTTTAATTAACACGTATAATACATTATACACTGGTATTGTACAAAAACTAGTTTTATTTAGAGAATCGTTCATCATAGGTGCTAGTAAAATTATTTTAAGAAGAGTTAGGTTAATTAGCGAACAAAAAAATATTATGATTTTTTTTTTTTTCATAATGTAACATCTAGGATATGTTAATTTGTACATTCTAAATATATTGCAATGTAACATATAGGATATGTTAATTTGTACATTCTAAATTTCCATTTTTCGGATAAGTGAGTGATATGAAAAACTATCATGATATTTAGTTTATACATTGCTGAATCTCAAATTTTAGCCTTGAATTCGATCTAAAATAAAAATGAAACTATTTCATGTCCTTTGTTTTTTGAGTTGAAATATCATTTCATGTTTGTACCTTCGAAAAAGCAAGTTATATTTTTCAATTGAAAAAATAAAAGAGAAAGTGAAAAGGACACACTTAATTAATTCTTTGTACAAATGACATCCAGCTGCCTCAAGAGCATGCAGCTATAGTGTATAGCTCATTTCTCAAATTGTGATTTTATTTATGTTGATAAACGGATTATATCAACGTAATTAAGATTTAAAACATAACGAGAATTGCAGAAAATATGATTTTTATTGAATTTTATGAGGTCGGTTACAATTTCGAACAAGTCGGTATTTTAGTACAAGAGGTCGGAAACAGAGAAAGCCGAGGTAATAAATGCGTGAATTTAATGTGTTGGTCGTGGGTCTTCGTATTGATTTTAATGCTGCTATTTATAGTTACATCTAGCACACTTTCCAAGAGAAATCGGCTGTATTAAATGCAGATTTGATGGTTTAGGGGCGGCTATGACGTTAGCATACTTTTTAGGTAATGATGAAAGTATGTGTGCCCCTCTTGCTGAGTGACAGGCTTCACTTCTGTCGAGGTTGGATTTCTCCTATCAGTTGTTCCACAGGTTTTTAACCTGCGACATCCTTCTCAAAGAACCCTTTTAGAACCGAAATGACAATCCCGAGTCGCTTGTTCAATGCTGGGGCGATCTGGGAGCCTGCTTTGTTTGTTTTGGAAACCGAGGTAGTAGTACCGAGATGCCGATTAGTTATCGAGATGATACCGAGGATCTCCATCGCACCTCGGTCTTCTAGTAATTAACTCTAAATTCTTCTTAAATCCACTCGAAAACGCCCTTAATCTGCAGAATCCAATTTTGGTATTAACAATTTCCTTGTTCCAAAGTGTACCATTTTTTTCCCCTTTTATGCCCATAAACATGAAAAAGTCTTTGGTCCAAGTATGGGACAATATCATTATAATAGATTATATATATCTTGTTATTTGTAAATAGCAATTTTAGTTGTAATAGCATAGCACTTTACATGTATCACTTTACCTATCATTGTAACCCTAAGTATATAAGGACCCTTACTGTACATTCAATTAGTTCATTTTCTCAATACACAATTTTATTCTTCTTTCTCTTTTCTCTCTCGCATATACAGATCCAATGTTCAACACATAATTTATTTCACACCAACATACAGAGCCAAGCTCGAAGTTTTGATATTCAATTTCGGATTCAAGCCTTCATCAAGCCAATCTGACTAGTTGAGTAAATAAACGAGCTTGAGATCAACTAAGCAAGCTCGAACTCAGATCGTTTATCAAATGAGTTGAGTAGGTGTATGTAATGAGGAATATATTTTACTCATCATAATGTACATCAAACCTACACGTTAGGCACAAAGTGATATTTTAACGAAGTTTGTCCTCACGAACAATTTAAAAAACCTCATGCGACCTCTGAAACATTCGACCCTATCGGTGACCGCACTGCAGTCAACGAGTTTTACACTGTTGGTGTTGACCATTTTTTTCGCCTGAACTATTTGACAAGTACCGCGTGTCAATGCTATTAACTCGTAAGATAGCCATTGGAAAGAACAGTTAAATCTTTGGTCGATCTAAGTATGAATATAAAGAAGCCTTCATACCGAGCTAACCAAGCATATGAAAGAAGTCAGTCGCCAAACTAAAGTGCAAATATCAAATCTTTTTAAAAGCATGAAGCCACCTATCCTTCGCAATGTTGTGAAGCCTTCCCTTTCTGACACGTGTGACATGCAATGGAATGATTCATACCCAATTTTTACAGTATATATTATCAACTTTTACCGCAGCTCGGAACACTTTGTGTTAACTTATTACTTTCACTCTGCAAACAGAAGCAATAAAAAGATAATCTTTAACTTTGTATCGACATATCTACTAGTACCGTAGTACGTCATATAATATAATATACATTTTGTTCCAATCACGTTAAAATAAAAATATAAACACACTTTAATTACGTCACTAAAAAAATGTACATAGTTGGATCAACACACGCATATACCTACATAAGTGTACGTCGATCCAACAGAATAAATAAATATAATCCAATAACTACACTGTAGTCACTGATCGAGCGAAATCTGCCGTGTCATGTGTGCTACAAGCCTACAATTATTATTATTATTATTACTATGTAAATTTATTAATAATTATTTTTTTAAAATAAATATTTCTATTAAATCTAATTAAAAAACAAAAACAAAAAACAAAATGTTGAGAAAAAATCAAGCTCAGTACTAAGTTCCTAGCACTAGTAGCAGTTAATGTTTAGGGGAGGGACCGCACGAGTGGGGGGAAGTCAATGGAATAGAAATAGTAAAAGGAACTGCACATTACTGTAGAGGAAAAGCCGTACGCACTGCCACAACCCCGCACGCTTTTCCAAGGATTCCCGATGTCGGCTCCAGCCCCCACATATATGTCGCAGGTTTGCCATTTTCAATCATTATTATTTATTATTAAATTGGCCAATTATTATAAAAGTTCGCGACTTAATGTAAAATTTGCTAATTACTAGTATAAAATTTAATGCAAATAATAACTGATTATAATGTGATTAAAAGAATAGTTAAATAACTATTGGTAGTATTAAACATAGAAAATGTGTGTAGATGTAGAGTACGTATATCAAGGATTGCCTCCTAATTTAAAAGTTGTACGTATCAAGGATTAAATATATATTCAATTACACTCTATTTTACAAGTGGTGTTGGAAGAACATATATTCTAGTTATAACTAGATGAGATTTAATAGCTAAAAGTAGAATAATGTTGAAAATTGAAATACTCCATTTTGTATTACTATAGTAAGGGTGCAAAACGAATTTGAGTTGAGTCGAGTCGAACACTGATTTTATCGAGCGGAGATTTTCATTCAAGTAACTCAAAATTTGCTCACATTAGTTTGCGTAAGTTGCACTTAAACTCAAACGCTTGAACTTATAACTACATGCTCTAGTTTGGAGTAAAGTGCTTGAAATCTTGAACTCGATTCGTGCACGGTCAAACTCGAATCTACCATCAATTCATAAGTCACTTGATTCATATGCAGGTT